TTTCAGTGAAACATTATACTGTCACTGCACAGGCCTTTGAAAGTTGCCTTTAGTGAAGGTGTTTAACGGTGCTAAGAGTTTTATTAATGATTTAGAACCAAAGAGACATTTCATTTCAAGAGAGTAGATAAAAATAGTGCTATAGAAACAGCATACGTACCGCTGACAATTTGTTATCAAACTACTTGGCTTACAAAAATGTGTGGGCTCGGGCATAATTTAATTATTTAGTTGATTGTTTGTTGGGAAGCAGAACAAGAGAACAAAAAGGGTGTCTCAATCTCTGCGTAGCTCTAGAAGCAGAAGCCCTGACTGAGAATTTAATGAAAATGAGCAACAGAAACATACAAACATATTGGAGGTCTCAACAAAGAAAAGGCCAAGAGCTTTTATTTGGAAACAGAAGGCTCCTGGCACTTTGAATGTAATTCCTGGTGATGCTTTTTAACCTTTTTTTTCAGGGAAGGACTGCTTTTCCTAGTCCCAGCAGCCAGATCACTTAGCCTGAGTTTCAGACAAAAATTAGGTTTCTCTTTGTCCAAGCTCCCTGTGTAGCCAAAAAGGAAAGAGGGAGATGATCCATCACACCATGAGAGAGGTGGCTGAAACAGTCAAGATACAGTGCCCTGGTTAGATGAAATGTCCTTTGCAAGTGCCTGCCCAACATCATAGTCCAATGGCAGCAGAGTGATCCTGGATCTCACCTGGCTTTGCTAAACTGTGAATGTAAATCAGAGTAATTGTATGGTAAATTATTCAACTGAAACCCCACATCTGGGCACGTTGCTTTGGAGGGGATTTCACCTGAGAGAAAGAAAACCGTTTTAAATTTGGTAGAAGGATGCCCAGGTAGGGAACTGGTTTGTAATGATTTAACTCAACGTCTGTTTAATGAATAAAATTGCAATGTGGGACAAGTCCGTACATCAAAGCAAAGTGTTGCTTTTCCTGAAAGGCAGCGCTTCTCCTCTTTGGCCGAATGGCTCAGTGTGCTTAAGAGCTCAAGTCAGTCTTTTTTGTGAGGGCTGGTTTTTTTTTGACATAATATTACCCATTTATTCCTCCCTACCTTGAACCATGCTTGTGCCTGTCATTATACAAGACACCTTGATTACATCAACGTACAGCTTATAAAGGCTGAGGACTGTGTATCCTATGTACAGAATGAGGGCATTCCTTACATGGTTTTGTACGTGAAGGTACAAGTGAAAGACGGACATCTACATTTTCTAGAGAGCACATGTCTCTTTATTAAACATAATTTTCCTTCATTTCATGGCTCTCTGTGTAGTAGTATAGAAAATAGTACATGGGAAGAATATTCAGACCTACTCTGGTAAAAATCCCTTCATTCAAAAGAAGTATTTGATTGTTTTACAAGATAATGATGTCCAGCATGATGCAATATCAGGCACCAGGTACAGTCACATCATCATTGGTTTCAGCTTTTCTTCATGACTAACAAAAATCAGGCAACGTACACCAAAAAGAAAAAAGAACTGTAAGCCAGATGGTTTTTGAGAACTGAATAAAGTGAGAGGAGAAGTAAGCATCTGAGAGGAATGCACAGGGAAAAGATTAATCATTGCTTCATGTTCTGTGTCCAAAACAATTGTGTCTTTGCTTGTCTCTGATGTCTGATTTTGAATAAGGTAACAGGCATTCCCTTTGAGACACACAGACTGTCACAAAATCCACAACTAAAAACTATTGCAAGTACTGACCCAATTTGATCACAAACTACCATAATGGTATGTAAAAGTGAACTGATGGGTCATCTGAAGTGCAGAACAGCGCATGTTTAAATAGCTAAAAATATCAGTCACCTCCTTTGAAAGGTCATGTTGGCTATTTGTGTTTATTTCCAATAGGATTAATAGGAATATCCTAGAACCAAACAGAAAATTTGCTAAATGTATCAAGGTTGGGACATATGAGAGCAGGCAGCACCCTGAGACCTGAGCTCTTTGTTCTGAGTATTAGCTGTATGCATGAAATGACTTGAGAGAGTTGTGTATGTCTGTGACCATCACTGTATATGTTGTAAATGCACTGATCAAAGGCCTGTTACATATCTAATAGTCATTTGCATAGTTGGACCCTGAAATAGGTTGAAGCCTCTATGATCAGAATATTTTTGTTAAATACTCTTCTTTTGAAGTAGTTTCCTCGAAGGACCTGGCAGTTGGTTGTTTCTGTGCACAAAAGGTATGTAGCAAAGAAACCACTCTGCTCACATATATACAGGTGGATATAACTAGTTCCCAATACGCACAGAGACACACTGTATTTGTATATGTATGTACATGTCTAAGTTGTACACAAGTACATTTGATACAAGTATACATTTGTGAATTTTTATGTCTCCGATTTATATTATCTTATAAAATTCCATGACTATTTGATATAATAAAAATCTCTCATGACATTTAGACTGTTAGCACCATTACAAAAGCAAAGTATTTTGTGTGTTTTCTCATTTCTTTCAGGGCTATCAGCCCTCTTTTCACATCCTGTTTTGTGAAAAGAGAGGCCAGTTTCAACAGGTTTGGATTTCACATTGGGGAGAGAGAAGAATTAGTAGTTCAGAGACTGTTCAGATAAGCCTGACCTTAATTGACACACTGGTATGTTAGTTTCTGCTCAGTGAAGGAGAAAAAGAGAGAAGTGATAATGCCAAGTACTTAAAAATCATGAAGATTTCAGTTTAGATTTTCTACAGATGACTTAAAAGACGTACACATTGCTAGTTATGTATGTTTTGTCTCAGTGACCTCACATCAAATGTGAAAAGCCAGAAAATAGTTTTCTAGCTACCAGAGTAGTTTTTTCCCTAGGGCCTGAGGTCTCTGCAGTTTATCCCTCACTCACCATTGCTGGTAATAACATGGCAATCTCCAAGTAATGTCCTGATGGTTCCCCCTATGATCCCATTAGGCCATAAGCATAGTCTCTGTTGTGGGGGAGTCTCCCCTGTGCGGGTTGTGCTTCTGGCCCCATCAACTCCTGCCATTTTTGTGGCCCTTGGACAGTCACCCTGGATGGCTCAGCCGAACTTGGGTTTGCTTGTTCTGTCTTTCTGGATTAAAAGGGGTTTGCAGTTGCTTAACAACTGCATTTCCTTTCTGCTGCTCAAATAACTTTAACACTTAGAGGCTTCGGAATCATCTCTAGGTATAAGCTTCTTAGAGGTGCGTGTGAGTTTTGGGAATGACAAAGGCAAAGCCTTTGTACATCGAGGCTGGCACCCTGCCTCCAACAGTGGGAAAAAGGCACAAGAAATATTACAGTTCCTAGTTTCAGAAAAACTCCCCAAAGGAACTGTTATTTCCTAATATCTGGTAATTAAAATTTTATGTTTGAGGGTTTATTTCCAGTCTGATTCTTCTCCTGAGGTTCAAAAATGCTTTATTTCTTAGTAATGCAGCTCTTGACGTTGTTGTCATTGATGAAATATTTGGGTTTTCTGTATATTGCTGTACTCTTGGTCTTAATTATGTCATGGGGCATGAGGTGCTCAGGGGAGAAACAGATAAACAGACTCAGGCAGCGGCAGCGCACGCTCGCTGTGCTGCCCGGCCAACATTCCTCAACTCTGACCTGAGGACAACCTCTGGAGATAAGAGTCCCTTCTTATCAGTGAGTCCTCACCTTCCCTGCCAAGGCTGTCAGCGAAAAGGACGTTCAGAGCCAGCAGTGGAGTTATGTACAGCAGGGGCTTGTCCACCAGAAACCGTTCTGCGCTCACTGCTGTGATTTTAGCATCACCACCAGAAAGTTTATATTGTAACATTTTTCTGTTCCCATTTCACCCAGGGCTTGAACCCTGAAGAACTGGCAAATGGTCAGTTCTGAAACCCTCCTGTTTCCTTGAGACCTGGCCCTTAGGTAACTTTCTATCTGAGGTGTATCATGAATGGCGCACACACTAGCTGCACTGTATATGGTACCACACTATCCACACAGCGGGTGATATTACCACTGTAAAGATGAGCCCTTAGAACTGTTTGAACTTGGAACATTTGAGTTACTGTCTCTGCTGTTCTCTACACTTAACATAGGTGCTCAAGTGATAAAGTTAAAAATATTCTTCATGTGACTAATTGCTTGCCCAAATCACGCACATCTCTTTTTTTCCTTCACCTGTAGTTGACATGGTAATTGCTGGGTTTCAGTTGTCAAAAATCACAACCATGTAATCAGAGGGGTAGCTGAGAGACCAGTTGTCTTCAGAGTCTGGGCCCTGCAGACTTGCTCACCTGCTGTTCAGCAGCAACACAAAATAGCAACGCAGGTTCTTACAGTGACAAATCCTCCTGGCTAGCTCTGCAGGCAGCTCTTTCCATAAGCATGAAAAGATTAAAACTCAGTTGATAACTTCTCAATGAATCAGCCTGTACGTTCCAGTCAGGTTCGCTATCATTCTCCTAGGATGACCTTATTTTATAATTGCATTTCATGTATGTGTCTGAGTATGAAACTCTGCTCATGCATCATTTAACACTCCTCGACGGAGAAGGTCGATGTCTTGGCAGAGCTGGGTGTTGATGTCTTTATGGATGGAAAATTTTGGGTTTATATTATATCAGTAACTCTGCAAGATGTGATACTGGGATTTAGGGATCTGAGCTCTTGGAAATCGGTGGATGAGGTCCAGCTCTGTTCTTGTTTAGCTTTGAAAGAGAGGCTGACTCTTGTGGCATATGCAAGTGCTGTTTAGTTGCTTGTTTGAAACGGAAAGTCTGAAGAACAAGAAAATCGGAGGTTTTAGACTGGCTCCAAGATGTGCATTTATAAAATATCCAAATTCTCTTTACATTTTATTTCTAAAGTAAGATTGAAATAAGCTTGAATTTTGAAATATCTTTCTCTTGGAATAGGATATTATGGAATATTGATTGTTCCTGTTGTGGAATATTTGTTGTCTTACAGCCTGCATTTACAGTCTCACAACACAGAGAAAATAACTCCTGATAACGTTAAACTGACAAGACTCTGAACGATGGGAATATGATGGGCTATTTTCTGTTTACCCTGGACACTTGTTGGAGTTTGCCTTGGAAGTCATGTGAGAGCTTCAGGTTTGTACTTCTCTTTATGTGATCTGCCTGTGTACTTTACAGAAGATGTTCATCCTGATTTGCTTTGCAGTTAACTCTGCCTTTCTCCTCTTCTGCATGAATTCATGTTTCACTCTACAGTACCTGGAGATTAGCTGAGTAAAACAGCAGCCACCTTTCTACCCTCTGTAGGCCAAAATCCTATGGGATCTGTTTTCCAGATACTGCTACCAGGCAGAAGCAGGGCTGTAGCCCCGTTGTGCTGTGGGACAGGGAATTCCACAGAGCCTTAGGTCAGGCAGCTTTGCAGGATTCTTCTTAATGCTCCATGACACTTTGGATCCAAAAGCAGAAAATCCCAAGTTTTTCTCTCGTGGGCATTACAAATGATGTCTTAATTTACCAACACTACGAAAACTCTTTGTTATCTCTTTGTTTATAATAGGGCTTTGTTTGCTTATTTTAGAACAAAAATACAAAAGCAAGTCCTACAAGCTTTGCATTTACATTTTGAAACCCAAATGAGCTGGCCTGAGTCTGTCTCCAGCAGACACTGTCAAGACAATTCCATCTTGAATGCTTTCTGTTTTAAAAATATTCTGCCCAGAATATATGTTTTTAACTTTTGATTGGTCTTTTTTTCAAGTGATGGGCATCTGCTGTTGAACATGTTGAGATGAACAGGGAAAAGGTTTTCCTGCTAATTACAGTGTGAGCACTTATGTCACATTCCAGATTTATTCCCCTAACTTGGGAGAAGATAAATAAAGGGATAGATTCTCCTACCCCAAAGGACAGAGATGGAATGGCACTGTAGACCCAGGTTTTGGAGTCAGCCAGTTTGAAGTTCAGCGCTCAGACCACTACATCCCCTTACATTTGCAGACGCTGCTTCATTCAGAACTCTAATCATTTTAGGATCTCCAAGTGTCTGAGTTCCCAGTGACATTAATTACCATGCACAAGGCTGGCTATTTCAAGACAATTAAGAGATACGGAGAGAATTGGTGGAAGAGTGAATCAGGGGTCACAGTCTAGTTCAGTATAGAGCCTACCAGTGCTCCGTCTGACAAATGAAAACAAAATACAAAGCTTGAGAGGAGCCAGAAAATATCTGAATAAATAATTAGAGCCTGTGTGTTTCAGGGAGCGGGGTTTTCTTGGCAGCACCAGGCTGTAGTCATTTCTGAATAAACAAGATTGAGATTTATGTCTCAGTGAAGCAATGCTGGGAGCCTGCTTGACGTGCTGCACAAAGCCCATTTCCGATGCTCTCGGCCAGATGAATTTCCTCCCTGTGCTGGAGGTGGGCAGAAACGTGGTGTCCTCATAAAATATGCCTCAGATGCAAGGTTGGTCTGTGCTCCAGAGGCATCACTTGCAGGGAGGAGTCTGTGGGACACTGCCAGGGGACACCTGCTTTTAAACTGAAGAGGAGCTGGCTCAGTTTTGCATGCACTCTGGTCTTCAGGAGTGCTGAGCTTCTGCACCCACTCATGTCAGTGGGGTTTGTGTAGGTTCAGCAGTTGTAAAACCAGAGAAAACAACAAAACCCCAGGCCTGCAGGTAATAGCTTTCTGTAGGTACAATTTACAGGTGCCTGCACTGTATGTACAGCAGCTTGTTCCTGTGTGCTCTAGAGGATAAATGCATTTGTACAAGAGGCTGGCCTTGGGAAATGCCTCCATAATCACAACTACCACCAGACAGTTCATGCTTACAGAACAGCTTTGCACAGCAAGGTATTAGTAATGGCATCTGTGAAATGAAAACCTGAGACACAGGAAGCAGGCAGCCTTGTCTCACAGCTCATTTGGGTTTGGTGGTGGGGAGGAATTTTCCCTTCCTGTCTCCCATGGGACATTCCTCTCTACCCCCTGCAGAGACAGGCAGGACTGGGGGTGAGCAGCCAGAGGTGCCCGGGAGCAAGGGGGAAGCAGGGGAGCTGTGTTCACTCTCCTCTGTATTTCCTGCCCCAGGCAAATGCCCCTCTTATTCCTCCAGTGGCCTTTAAACGCAGGTTCCCACTCCTGCACCCCTCACCTCCATGGTGACACCTCCTCCTGTCCTTCAGCTGCCAAGGGAAGAAAACAACAACAGGTGGAAAATTAACTTTTTTTCCTCCTGTTTTACAGCATTGTTGCAACATCCTTTCCTCCCCTTCAGCTTCAAGGGGGCCGGGCTGCTGTGCCAGAGCTGACTGCTGTCACCACTTCACCTTTCAGGACCTTGTGCTGTGCTCCCACATTAAAAGGTTTGTTGGATTTAAGAAAGCCTGTGCTGTCATTGCTAAGGAATGTATAAAATCTGGTGTCAATAAGCTTAATTGGTGCAGAGGCCTGATTTGGTTTGAGGGAAAGGTGTAGATATTGCCCCCTGCTAAACTCTGTAAAGAGACCTGGCAGCTTGGTTTGCTGGAGAGCAGTGACCTGAGGTGTGTGAGTAAAACCATCAGCTGAGGGTTGAGAGGAAAAGTGCAATTAGAGGTGGTCTTTTACTGGTGCTTTCATACATTGAGTAGAGCTAATGCTGAAGGGCGCGGAGGTATTAGAACAAAGGTAGGAGACCTGGTGGGTCTGAGGGGAGAAGCTTGAGTCATGAAAGAGAGGAGGCTTTCTGGATCTGGGATAATATGGGATTCCTAGGGAGAAGCTTGCCAGCTGAACTAGAGAGTCTTGGTTCCTGCTGGTATGGCTCAGCCTTCCTAGGAAGACACTTCAATGTGTGTTTGATTAAGAAGAAAAATGGGCAGAACAAGTGGAAAGTAACAGTACATCTCAAAGAAAATTCCAGTGGGCAAGAGCTGTTAGTTGGCTTCAGATAGAAAGGCTGGGCTGAGCTTTTTAGAGGTAAGTGAAAGGGGTACAAGTGTACACTTCAGGGTAGGAGAAATTAAAGGACGGCACAGCTGCTAAAAAATTAAAGTTGATGTATTTGCCTCTATAAATTCAGCGTGTTTGCCAGAGCTCTGCACTTGGATTAAACTCAAAGCATATGTTCTCTGACTTGAGGATTATCCCACACTGGGCTGCATCCATTCCTTCTGCTCTCTCCTCAGGGAAACAGCTCACGTTCTATAAACTAGCAGAATCCCAGAACTAAAGTCCAGCAATCCTTGCACCACTTTCAGTTTGCTCCTTAAGCTTTCTTTTCCCCTTTGTCCACTTGTTTCCCTATAGAGATGCTTCCTGATTTCTTCCTTTCCGTGGTATCTTCATTTCTAATGTTTCTTCCTTTTTATTTTACCCCTCTTTTGGTGCTGAGATATGAGTGTGTCACTTGTTCAGTGCATTTCCAGGTAAAGTACCTTTATGTTCTCACTTTTGCTCCTTTTATGTTTTAGAGAAGCTTCTTAGAAGCATCCCAGAATAAATCCAGCTTCCGTCTTTCACATGCACAAAAAGTCAACAGCAATAGGCTTCTAGTTTATTGGGCTTGTTTCTGCTTATCGTGGTCAGTACTTTTTCAGTGTTTCCCTGCTATTTTTAATCTTGTTTAGTTCGTAAATAATTTTGCTCAGTGACCTACCTTTTTATTACAATTACTGAAAAACTAGGCTGGTTAGATCCTGGCTCATTCATAAGGCTCCTAATGAATCCTCAGCTGTTGATAACAAAGGAATTCAGCAGAGTGAAATTCTTCTCCCTGTACAGGGTGCTTGCTGCAGTCAGTGTGCACCCCTAGAAAAGATTAATGCTGTCCAATGGAACATATCACATACTGATGACTTCAGGTTGTCCACTAATCTTTGTAATTGGCATGAAATCCAGGGTGGCTGGGAGTCAAAATCCTGTCTTCTTGGCTTTGTGTGTGTTCTGCTGATTACCTGCCTAATGAAGTAAGTAGGCAGAGCAGTGTCTGTGTCATCCTGCAGCCACGTCAAGTAACTCACTAAACCTCTCCCTGGGAAAGCAGTTTGGAAACTTAGGTGAAGATTTTTGTTTCAGTATAAATTTGCTGCTTTGTAGAAACCTAAGGATGTTATGGGAGGAGATCAGTGTCAATGAACTTACTAGCTTTAAAAAAATGTGGAGGGGAAAAAAAGTCCATGATCATTCTAGCTGTTTCCAGAATGAAAGACTCCAGGCTTTTCTCTTGAAAGTGGTATTAGTTGCAGATACCATCTGCAACTCTCCTGAGCATACTTCAGAAAGCCCTTATGGTAAACAGGTTGCATGTCTCAGTTCCGGGAGGGTTTGCTGCCACACAGAAATTCCAGATTGTGTGCTGGTAATTCCAGATCTTCATAATCCAATGATCCAGATACCCTGTGCTGTGTTTAGAGTAGGATGCTGAGTGCTGTTTTACCAGGAACATGACTGGGGTTCGCTCTCATGTGTGTTTGCTCTCAGCATGGGGTTTTTGCCTTTATAAAAGTTACAGTTAATCAGCCCGGAGTCTTGGGAGTTGAGTTCCTTGGGGATTGATGGCCAGGGGCAGGGTGTGAATGGCAGGGTTCTGCCTCCATAAGGTGGAAAGAAACCAGAAAGCAGCAGAATGCTGTGAGAAGAAGTCAAGAGCATGGCCCAGAAAGGTAATGGTAAAAGGAATCAATGAGATGCAGAGCAGAAAGCAAAACTGAAAATCATGCATGATTCATCTACTTGCTGTTTTCTCATTGTGTTTTGGAAACTTGACTTTACAAGCTGAATTGCACCAAACAAATATCTGTTTTGTGTTATCAGTCTTGTCTCCATGTGGAAAAAAGGTCAGATCAAACATCAAGATATTTTATTCTTTTAAGTGCTGTCATGTTTTGCTACATATTTTGATATCCCTCATAACCATTTTCTTTTTATTCATTACAAATGGTTAATTCACTAGGCACTCTGCTTCCCTTGAGCATTGCAGGGTTCTAAATGGCTTGTTTTGCCAAAAAGTGTTTGTTACTGGATCGGAGAAGCTTGATGGCAAGTAAGGAGGGAATGCTTCCTAATAAATATTCCTTTTGGATATAGTGTGCCTCTACATTGGAAGAAGAATATTATGAGAAGTGTTCTAACAGTGTTTGTGCTTACTCTTGAAGTTGGAATTGTAAGAAGCACTTTGCCATTCCAGCCTTGTGAAGATGTTCTAAAGGACAAGAACGAATTTTAATCTGAAGAATATTTATGGGGTCTTTTTTGATAGAGAAGGAAATCTTATAGTGCATGACATTACAGAGAAACTCAGCTCTAGAATTCTCACTTTATACAGATACGATATCAGTGTTGCAGATTGACGGACTTCTGAGGTGTTTCTGGACTGTCATCTCTGCCTAGAGAAAGGGAAAGACTTTCTGTTCTTTGTCGATATAATTATATGGCTCTCAAAGGATTTGCTCCTGTTCTCAGCAGTCAGGAGAGAAGCAGTGGACTCATAATACACCAGAAGTAAATTCCACTTCCTGCCTTCAGATCTCCCAGTCAGATAAATGAAGAAAGACAATGGAGAAAAGCACTTAAACAAAAGAGTGAAAGTCATGTTTGGTCTTTTGGGGGGGGGGGGAATGAGAATGGAGCTGCTCTGATAAGGGCTGTAATAAGAGTCGTTTCAAAGGGGAGGGGTGGCAGGAGGTGGGACCTTCACTCTGCCAGAGCTGGATTGAAACTTGCACACAATGGCAGGGCACCTGTTGGGAGCTGAAAGCTTTTCTAGAGAGCTTGGTGCTAATTGTCGCCTCGCAGCTGGAGGATTATGTGTAACCTGAGCATTTAGCAGCGAAGCTCTTACAGCAGCCTTGACAAGTAGTGAAGGGAAAAGTTCCTCTTTTTTTTCTACAGTTAATACCACAAAATGGTGTTTTATAAAGTTTGTCTTTAATCTTACCTTGCTGTGATGCCCTTTCAAGAAAGAGGACTATAGTCTGCAAATAAAGCCGCTGTAAATGCAAGGATGTTGTTTTAACTTCAAAAGTAACTCTAATGCTACTAAATATTATAACATCTACAGAGCGGAACCAAATCCCCCATTCTCTGTGCAATTGGCTCATATGTTGGGTTTTTTTTTTCCTCTCTGTATTTTAAAAGTACCTTCCATTGTATAAACATCCTTAATCTAAATTGATCCTCAGTTGCCTGGAATATCTGAACTAATAGAACAAATAAGAGTTCATTTTATGCCTATGCAAGACTCCATTTATTTCACGGGCGTACTGGGATCAGTGTATTTGAATATGATGTGAATTCATGCTTTATTTTCTTGTCACAAGAAAATAGAAAGCTGGCTTAATGGTGTCAGCCTTTCATCAGTCATCTGAAGACAAGCAACAGAAAATATCACTGAAGTAATTGTAACTGGATGAGTTGCAGAAAGAAGAGCTGCAAATCGTGGAAATAAACTCTTAAAACCTTGTTCTTCATTTACTCATAACCTGAAGTAACTGTGGAAGTTTCTTGAGGCTTTCATTAAAACGTGGGTGCAGATAACAAATTAATTCAGTGCATACTTGGGGTTCTTATTTTATTATTGCCTAGAGTGTATGACTTTTTATTTAATTAATAAAATCCATTAATTTTAATTATTAATGGCTTTAAATATTTCTTACATGAGCACTGCAGTGTGTTCTTGGAGAACACTAGATGCGAGCTGCTTTATAGGCAAAGCAAGAGTTGCATTCATCAACAGTCCTCCTTTTTCCTAATGTAATCAATCTGTATGAAAATAATTATTGTGGAAGCTCTGAGAAAAATAACTGAAGAATATTGTTGCCTCCAAAGCTCTGTCTTTAAATGCTACTGCACACATATACACTATAAAAATATTTCTTAGGAGTATGCATTGCATTGGACTACCTGGTCTCTGCCTTTGATGCAACTAGATTGTTCTCTAAGGTTGCTTTATTTCCTGTACCGTACCAAGTACTTCACATTTAGATCTGTGACTGGTTCAGCTGCTGTCCAAAACAATCTGAATTTCACTAGTATCTCTGTTCATTTTCTTAAGAAGTACAAGAGGAACTTACAGCATTCTTAAATCAAAGAAACAGCATTGGGTTGCATATATAACTCTTAACTCCTAGCTTGAGCAACCTGCAGTTTTTATTCTTTTCCAAATGGCAATTATCCCAGCCTTTACAGCATTAGCTAATACTGGGTTATCTTATTTAGGTTCAAACCTAGTAACGAAGACACAACTTCTGCAGTGAGAAGCTTGACTTCAGAAAACTTGCTGATGGGAGAAAGTAGCGACACCTGAGAGCAATGAGTACTGAAGAGCTGTGTGTTTCAGCTTCTGCAAAGGTAAGATGTAAAACCCTGATCAGAATTGGAAAAGGAAAGAGCTTATCTTGAGGATTTCAGTGAAAGAACCATAATTTCTGCAACTAATTTAGCAGGGTTTTGTTGTTTGTTCTGTTTGGAAGAGTGGGATGCGTTGCTTGTAATTGTCCTCCAGTAAGCTTTAAACAGCTTCCTTGGCAATGAAAGTTTTCTTGTTTGACTGATTGATCTTATAACTCATGTTTAGTAATTTCCAGAGGGGTTACCTGCAGCTTGCTAAATGGACCCCCATAGTTTCACTGTTCACATCAAACGGAGTATTCTTCAGCGGTACAGTGATAAATCAAAAGGAAAAATCCCATTTCAGTGTGGTAATTGCATTGACTTGTATTATTTTAGCTCAGCACAGTTGCAAATGTAAATCTACTAAAAAGAACCAGACAAAAAGATATATATAGACACGACATTTTTAAAAGGCACAGTCACTTGCTTGTGTTAAAAGCTGCTAACCTATAGGCCTGGAATTACTTAGAACTTTGGTAGTTTTGAGTGACTGACTAACTAAAGAAAGAATAAGAAACGAAAAAGAGTGGTGAAAGGAAATCTTCTTGTTGAAGAAATGTAAAAGCAACATTTTTGGCAGCCCGCTTTGGGTGATGTCATTCTACAGAATGTGCTAAAGTCTGTTATTTTACAGCAGGAACTGATTTCTCAAGGCAGGCAGAGTCTATGGGCACTTAGTGTTGCTCTCAACTTAGGCCAGGCAAGATCTGTGCTTTTTTACACCTCATTTGATGGTAATAAATCATGTAGACTTTTAAATATGGGGCTCAAAGGCTGCTTTTCATATTTATACACATATATGTATCTAGATATGTTTGGAATCCTTTGCACACTTTCTTGTGTGGGTTTATCTCTTGGCTGAAGATACGCTTGTTGCTAGTATTGAGTATTCGTTGCCTTCTGTACTGGGTTCTGGCAGATGAGAACACTGAGAGTGGAACTGCATTTGGGAAGGCAGGGAGAACTCCCCCCGCTCCCTTACTGCCAGTTCACTCCGAGGTGACAATTCCTTGCTGTTTCTCCCCAGTTGCTTGCTAATACTCAGTCTATAGGATATCAGAGTAGCTACAGTTCAGTGTATGTTCGCTTTGTCATGAGTGAAAATAGGTCTCAGCTCTGAACCACAGTAAGTTGAGTGCAGACTTGTGGTAAAATGCAAAGAGCTTTACTGTATTCAAAGCATTAAGTAGTAAAAGGATTAGGTTCTGTTGAAATTATCCAAGAGGGAGCATGAATCAGGTGGTCTTTGGAAGGTTTAAGGATTGTCCTGTTAAGGACCAATAAATGTAGTTCACTTGCTAACATAAGGGAGTATTTGTGTTTGTTACATTTTATGTGGCCCATCAATTTGGACCATGAGCCTAGTCATGTAGTAAAGGTACTTTAAAGCAGAATTGTAAAGATTACTGCTAGAAGCAGAGAATACTCAGGGCCTGATTCTGCAGAAATTTTGTGGACTGCTAATGGAATAACGTGTCACTTGGGATAAATTAGACTGGCCTTATGATTATTACATCTGAAAGAAAAAAATGCTGAATACCTTTCACTTGCATTCCTTTCCTTTCGCATTTTACTTCTAGTGAGACACACCACTGTGACAGAGTTAAAGTTTTGTTTCTAGGTGTATATTAAATAATGCTTGATTAATCAAGATTGCAGTGTCTTCTGTCCTCTGACCAGGGTTATTTCTCCTGCTTGTTTACTTGCATGAAAGTGTTGATTTGGTACTTAGTGATACAGGGACTTTCTACATGCACTAGGGAAAATCTATTTGATTAATGTCTGGAAAGCCTCTGAAGTTTTATGAAGTCTCACTGCTGATAACAAAATGCATATATTTGATCTCAGCTTGGTGGGTACTTCTTACTTTAAAAATGACATCATATGAAGTTGTGTATTCCGAAGATCAGTTGATCCTAATACATACAACAATATTCTGGAAGAGTTTTGTCTGTAGGCAAATTATATTAACTCTTTGACTGTGGAATCTCGAAAGAACAGTAACTTTATTACAGGTGCACCTGGCTCAGCTGCCTATTATTAAGTTTGCCCAACACATACCATCAGAAGATGTTTTCAATTGCTCAAAACATTTCCAAATATGAACCATTTGCATTGAAATTCTCCATGCTAGTTGGAAAGCTGTGCTTGTTGCAGCTCTTAGAATTGATGGACAAGCCTGACAGGGTGCAGAGCGGGGCTCATCTCTTGGTAGCATAGATGAATGCTGTCCTGGAGAAATTAATTCTGTGCTGATGCCTACCTTGGCTATTAGAACCAAAGCAGAAATTTGGAGCTTTGTGCCTGGTGTTGTCCAAATACATTTAAATGTAATGAATTTTGGCAAGTCTGAATTAACAGAATGCCAAAGCGTTGTTTGTTATGTCCATGTTTGTTATGTTATTTGTTATTCTAATAACAAATCCAGGTATGTTTGAAATAGAAAAGGCTTAGCACCTAATTGCAAATGGTAGTAGTTAGTATAATGGTAGCTTCTGTCACTATTTCATATGTTTCTTTTCACATGTGTATGTCCAGCTCTGTTTGCATGTTTAAATGCATTCTTGAAATATACTCTGCCTTCTGCACATGATCTCAGTAGCAGCTGCTGCCTGTCACACAGGCCAGGCATGGTGGGGTAGAGGAGGATTCTTTCCCCTTCTCCACGAGGCATAGCTTGATCAGGCTGTATTGTAAATCATAAGGATGCCTGCTAAGTGTGCTCTGTGGTTATGCTTTTCTTTGGTTATTGCTGCACAGAACTAGGAATTTTTTGCTTTAAAGTTAAAGCTTTCAGAGCTCAACTGTACTGTCTATTAGTATGTGACAAAATGGTAGTCAGAAGGAATATTAGTACTGATTTCCTGAAAATACCTATCAATTGCTATCTAACAAAGACCCAGTTAAACACAGGAGTGTCTCGTGACAGCCTTGTGGGTTTGTAGGTTATTACACTAAAAGCAGGGAAGTGGACACACCTTCATCTGGAGTTAAAGCTAGAATCTACTGCTCAGGGGAATAGTGTGAAAACATCTGAACAGAGTTACTGAGTAAGGCAGCTCATCTTCTGTGGGGAGAAAGCATGCACAGGGACTATTAGGCTAATGCAGCTCTGGGCAGCTCTTACTCCTTGTAGGAGTGTGTCTGTATCTTTATCACATTGTGTAACTCGCATTATCCCTTTCCATTATAGGACTAACTTGGTTCCACAGGATTTAGTCTTTCTGGGAGTCTTGTTTTAATTTTACAATGTCAGGTATTTCAGGGGCAGAGACCGTGTCTTATTTATTACTTTTATGAGTCATTTAGTTCATTTTTGGATGCTTGACAGATAATGTGTTTGATTGCATCATGTGGTACACCAGGTCTGTAGGAAAACAGACTTTCAACTCTGTAATGAAGTCTTAAGTTTGATTTACTGTTTACTCATTCGACAGCAGATGCTAGCCAGAATTCAGTTCATTTAAATTCTATGAACTGACTAAGCCAAAGGCAATATAAAATCAAGTATCATCAGTGTACATCTAATAGTTCACACGATGTAACGCTGTCTAGATTTTCATCATTAATGTTCCTGGACTAAACATGGAGCACTGGGTAGAAGAAAACCTGGACAGATTCCAGCTGGAAAATATTCATAATATCTAAATGTTCTATAGAATAACATGTTAATGGTTGTCATGTTGCAATAGTTCTTGTACAATCCATGTTTCCCAATTGTTGAACCCTACTGTAATTAATCTGAAAAAAACCCAGACCTTCTTTTTCCCCTTTCTCCCACCCCACCCCATGTAATTTGTTCTTCTGTGGGCTTTGGAAACCTGTAGTTGTGGCAACATTAACAAATTAATTCCTAACAGAGCTAATTGAGTTGACAGCTAAAGAGATGCTCACTTTTGCAGGCAGTTAAAAATAATCTTTTTAATTTTTATTCTTCCATTATTAATTTTCCCATTGAGTGAAGCTGAGTCTACTGTGGGAAGTTGGACCCTGCTGGGACGCTCTTGGCCAGACCTGGGGACATGATGTTCCATCTAAAGAGCAGAGGGAGGAGTACTATACTATTTGTCCTCCTTGGGGACCTGACAGTATAGTTCATGCAAAATGTGGTTCTTGGGCACATGCTAAGCCAAGTAAACTTGATCAAGTTGTTGCTTGTCATATGAGAAATGAACTCAATGACGTCCATGGATGTAGAGTGTCAGAAATGCAAGGTATGCAATGCCTTTGGTTAAACTCTTGTGCAAGATCTGTGAGTTAACATTTTGTCTCACTGTTGTAATGGAGTTGCCACAGCTTAATCAACTGAAATAGATGCTTGGAGACTGAAGTCTCCAGTCATTAGTTTCAAACACCAAAAGACCGTCCCACTGCTTACCTTGGTTCCTGTGGACTAATGCTGCAGTGACAAAAGGAAATGTTCAAGTTGGTGCTAACCAGTGCTACTGCTACTTCCGGAAGAAGAGAAGACCAAGGACAGAGCTTCACTCTCTCAGATCAGGAATATAATTGGCTAATGGTAGCTACTAGCCTCCTGTGAGCTGGCTGAGCTGTGGTGAGGGAACATGAGCATGCTCGAAGGGTGTCCAGGTGGACGTTAGAGTGTATGGGGATGGCTCTCAGCAGGAGAGCTTGCTCGTGAAACCAAATGGGAGAAGCAGAGCATTAGAAACCTCCCCTCTAAGCACAGGCCTGGAAAGCAAATGTGTGTGAAATGCAGATGGGGTAGCAGAATGTCATTGTTTGAAGGTGAAAGTGGGAAGAAAGGGGGTGAGAGAAGTGGCGGAAGGGAAACAGCAGTCACAGGAGCTCTGATAGGTGGGAAAGCGGGGAAGGAAGGAGTGCTTGGGAGTCAGTGCTAGCTAGAAAGAGGCTGGAGCTGGTGAACACACAACTACTCTTGATTCCTGCTGCATGTAGGAATATACAACTTTATGAGATCTTTGCGAATGGGAAGGGCGTGCAGTAAAGATACTTGGCTCTATCAACTATTTCCTGTCT